AATAGTACCTTTTATGCAAGCTTTCTCTTTATAAACTAGTTGCTCCAGTTTTTGTTGTGCTGTTCTGCTTTTCTCCAGACTACAAAAACTACATCAGTGATCCTCCAAATTTGTAAGATAATATTGATGATTTTATAAACAAAGCAAAATAATTATTGTTTTAAATTCAACATGGCATAGTTGCGAGTCTATTTTTAATGATTGTTGTTAATTGTGTAATTGTATTGAGGTTTTAATTGGCCACAGGTCTGGTTAAAACTATTTAGAGTAGTAAACTAAAAACTATTATAGGCATTATTAATGTCATCTTTGTTTTTAGTTGTCGTGCCTTCAAAGCACCATTTTATATTGGTGTAGTGGTTCCATTTGTTCTAATTTATCTGTTTGATTGGATCATTTTTGTCATGATAATAGTCTCTCTTTCACGTAAAACACTTTCATTAAAACTGAATAATGTTAAAACGAAAAAGGAATCAAGAATTTTGAAGCAGCAGTTGATGATAGCAATCACTCTCTCCATCCTTTTTGGTTTAGGCTGGGGACTTGGACTGCTTGTCACTGAGGACATTTATACCAGCAAAACTGTCCATGATGTATTTTCTTCAATTTTTGTTTTCTTGACTGGATTCCATGGTCTTTTTCTTTTTGTGATATACTGTCTACGTTCTAAAGAGGTTCGATTTGTTTGGAAAAACGTTTTGTTCTGTAAAAAAGGTAAAGAATTCTCTACATCAAATTTCAACAGAATCCATAAAACATCCACAGGCACTACTACAATGATGTCTCATAATCTGGCAGTCTCATTAAAGAAGGATCAAACTTGTAAATTTGAAGAAGGCAGCCAGATGAGACTATACAATTACACCAAAAAGAACGAACCAAGAAAAAAGGAATTAAATAAAAGTGAAGAGCATATTGATTTGAACTGCATCTCACATGATGATGGACAAGCCACTTTAAGGTTTTATACTAAAAAGTACCAAGATCAATTTGAAACTGAAGTAACATCCAAAGTGGATAGCGAAAGTCAAGAACCCCAATATTCTGTTTGTAATCTTGATAATGATGATTAAAGAATCCACTCCTGCAAAGTGGATTAAGAACATTTCTAAGCAATAAAATAAGGAATGCACAGAAACTAAATATATTAAATTTTTTATGTTCCATAATATACAGTGATGTAATCATTGATGATTTTTGTAGCTAAAGTTTTATGTTGTTTTAATTACTGAGTGAAGAAAATGACTAGATATTACTTTATTTATAGTATTGTGCTGATTATGAGTGCCAAATTCAGTGGATTGCTTAGCTGCACAAGCGACTACTCATAGATCTATTTATACATCTAGTCTACATGTCTTGTGGTTGAATGATATTCATGGTTTACTTCAATCAATGATTCATAGAATCTGGTTTAGATCTAAAATGTGGCACAAATTTGGTTAAAATTCAACTAGATATAAAGCTATTGTGTTCAAATTCTTACTACATTTTCAGATATTCTTATGCTGTGTGAAGAGCTAATTCCGACTTTCATTTTATGAGTTATGACCATTTTTAAAAACTCCAAATTTCTGAAAAATACCCTGTACTATAGCTCATGGTTTTCCTAGAAAATGATTCCAAAATCACTCCAAATTTTCATTACATTTTCTGATACAAATTGATGTCCTTATGCTATAACCATTTTTAAGAAGTCAAAATTTTGAATAAATACCCTGTACTATATAATAGCCCATGGTTGTTTCTAAAATTTGCCCCCAAAATTACCCCAATTTTTATTACATTTTCTGATATCAATACATATTGATATAGATCTACTTATGTGTAAAAAGTTTGAACCAATTCTGACTTCCATTTTTTGAGTTATGACCATTTTTTTAAAACTCGGATCCAAAAATAACTATTCAGTCCCATATATTTGGATCTATTTGAAATGTTTTATAATTTTTATTTGATCAACCTAAAACCAAGAGTACATAATATTATGTACTCTTACTAAAACACAACAGAGACCAGAATTATTTTTGATCCGGCCATTAAAGTAATTGAAAATATGAAAATATATATTTTCTGTATGTATGTATATAAAATGAAAGATGTATGTAGACTTAAAGTTAAAGCAGTCCAGATACATAGTCAGCCAATGGTTCAATGAGTGCATTGACTGATGATACCAAATCACTGAACACTAGCCTATCATCAGGTGATTCAGACCAACATGACATCATTAGTGAGTAACTGCATGTAAAGGAGAAAGCATAAAAAATTTTTTGAATCACCATTGGCTTAGATTTAGATAGAATAGACTCATTGAATAATGATTAAATGTATTATGGTATCATACATTTCTTGTGAGCATGCTTCATTATTTGGATTCTGCAGTCTTCCTCCAGCATCCAGTAACTCCACTACTCCTACTGGATCTAGACCAGGATAAGGCATCCTACCAAGACTGAACACTTCCCAGCACAATACACCATAAGACCACTATAGAAAGAAAGAGTAATTTGTAACTAGATCTATCTAGATCTAGTCTGGCTGGACCAGCCAGACTAATCTAGATCATAATTACTACTGACCACATCGGATTTTTCAGAGAAGAGTCCATCATGAATACTTTCTATTGCCATCCATTTCAATGGTAGTTTGATGGTTGATGAGGAATCTTTCAGCTGTCTGAAGTAGTTTTGATCATATATATCTTCTGATAGGCCAAAATCAGCTACTTTAATGATACCATCACCATCAATCCTATACAAGCAAAAATTGAAACAGCTCTGTGCATAACTAGCTCTAGTGCAAATTATGTTCTAAAATAATTGTAATGACTTACATGCAGTTTCTAGCAGCCAGATCACGATGAATGAATCTCTGTGAAGCTAAGTAAGACATTCCATTAGCAACTTGTAAACAAATGGAGAGTAACCGTTTCCTAACATTAAGTACAATATCCTCTTCACTGGTATCAGCTACTGTAAGATTAAGTCTCTCTTTCTTCAAGTAAGACAATAAACTTCCTCTTGACATAAAAGGCATGACAATGCATGGAGCTGGTCCAAGATCAAGACACACACCAATCAGTGGTAATACATTTAAATTATCGAATGACATCATTATAATACACTCATCCAGTAGAGAATCGATATCATTTTTGTTGTAAAAACCTGCAATAGTAGAATTAAGATAAATATTTTATACCTATAGCTCTAGCTTCATAATTTACCTTTTAATGTCTTCACAGCAACTGCTTGTGACATTTCATTTTCTGTTGTCATCACTCCGCGATAAACTATACCAAACTCACCTATAGTGTTATAGTGTAAAAATAATTGATCTTATATGATTATCAAAGTCAAAACTCCACAAACCTTGACCAGCAGTCTCTTGCATACTAATGCTTGAGCTTGATATTATACAACTTGACAGCTGAGTCATATATTCAGGTGAAATCTCAATATTTCTGTTACAGGTATAGACATTTTTGTTGGTGCTTTCTAAAGCTAATTATAAAAGGTATTGCAGAATGAGTAACTTTAACAAAAAATTTTGTCCATAAATAGATCTAGATTTACTTACACAAACAGGAATTGGATGTGATTTTTATTGTCAGTTGCTCATGACTCCTTTTCTTCTTGATAAAGCAAGCAATAGATAATACTACTGCAAACACTACCAGCGACAATAAGCAAATAGTGATTGTCCCTGGTATCAAAATAGATGCCAGCTGATTTGATGGCGGAGCAGTAGATGTATTGATAACTATAGATGAAGTATCAAAAGTACTTGCTTTACCACAGTACATAACGTAACACAAAAATGGAGTTTATACGAGGTTGAAAGTTAAGCAAATCATCCCCATAATTCAGTGAAAAATTAACCAGAAAGTATAATTTATAATACTCATTTGATTTATATTTATTTATACTAAAATACTTTAATACTAAAAAGCTTTCAATTAATGCTAGAAATAAGTATGCATGTATAATATTATGGTTCAAGCTACCAATGTGCAAAGAGCTATGTAGATAGCTAAAGTATAATTTTAATTATAACAGCTGAAAAATTTTGAAATTCACTACCATATACAGGAGTGCCTGGCCATGTTAGAAGTTGGAATACTACATTTTACAACACTATGCAATTTACAAAGTTAGTGAGTGACCTATGTAAAATTATATACTAGACTAATTACACCAATTTCACTACCTACCATATAGTGGAAAATTTTTGAGTGAGTTAAATTTTTGGCTTTTTGATAGCCATTTGCCAAAATAAAATCTACCATTATGCGCATGCTCAATTACACATAAAATTTGCCAAACTAAAATTTGCCAATCACCAAAATATAGCAATTTGCAACTCCTTTCAAAGTTTCCCACTATACAGTAATTCATTGTGAAAGTAATGTACATTTTAGCAGAAAACTTACTATTGCAAGAGAACAGAATATAATAAGAGAAAGAATACAATTCATAATGCATCATTATGCAATACTTACAGCCACATCTGACTCCTGCATCTTCACTATGGTTACAGTTGTGATTCATTGTGTGTGTACAGTTAGTAAGGTAAGATTCAGTTCCATTGCAATGAACTTCATTCATCACAATTGTTCCAGTTCCTTGTCCAAAGTAGGCACTATCAAAGGCAGTTCCTATGTTGGGGCAGTCATGCACAGTACAATCTATAAAGCTTTAATTCCTTACCTGAATCATATCCCAACTGTCTACATACAACGCTAGCATCAGTGTTGTCCCAGTAGTCATCACAGACTGTACCCCACCTTCCATTATGACACAGTTCTACTCTTCCTTCAATAGAGTTTGATTCATCAACAAGACGCACAGTACCAGGAGTACAAACTAAAATATAGATATATCGCTCAACAAATACAAATTAATCCTGAAACTGACCATTACATATTACTCCAGCATCCTCATCGTGTCCACAGTTGTGGGTGGTTGAGTGGGCACAGTTTGTCAATAACTGCTCAGTTCCTAAGCACCGAACATTATCCAAAAGGATTCTACCAGTACCCTCACCAAAGTAAGCATTTGATAGAGCAGTTCCACCTGTGATATAACAAATTAAAATAACTATCACAATGAATCAACTCACTTGTTCCCCAGCCTAGTTGTCTACACACTACTGCTGCTTCAGTGGAATCCCATAAATCATCACAGACAGTGCCCCATGATTCACTAACACACACTTCCACTCTTCCTTCCCAATCATGTGAACCATTAACAATACGAATTGATCCAGTAATACATACTGTAAAGAATTTTAAAAATTTGGAAATAATTTTAACATCTAACTTTGTAATGATATTGATTGCTATACCATTGTCACAACCATTTCTCATATGACAAGTTCTAATATGACAAGTGACATAGTTATACTGTGGCAACCTTGAGATTAATTAAATTTCATCATTTGCAGATTTAAATTTTGTGATTTGGATGCATTTGTAAACTTGCAAATTTTTTTGGTGAATCATTAAAATTTCATGAAATGGTTAATCTGTGGCATGCATTTATATAACATAAAAAGTTTAGACCTATTTTGTAATAAATTAAATGCACCTATTTTATTGGGACTTTTCAAGTTGCAGTGATCACATTGTGATAATTCTAAAACCACAGTAGAATTTCAGCATGACAGCTATGCAATGCATATAGTTCTTTAAAAAGATCACTGTCAATATAAAACAACAAAAATGTTCTTATTTAGTTTCACTTAGCAGCAACAAGGGGGCTGAATCCCCGCATCTCATATTAGGGGCTGAAGCTCTCTCAGCTCCCACCATTTATGCCACTTAATATAAATGTAATTTAACTAATTGAAATATACCAATGTAATGTTGAAATTAATGCCTTGAAAATCTGGGCACTACCAGTTCATACAAGACACATGAATAAAATCAATAATGCATCAATACTTACAGACACATCTGACTCCTGCATCTTCACTATGGACACAGTTGTGTTCTGTGGTGTGTGTACAGTTAGTAAGGTAAGATTCAGTTCCATTACAATCAACATCATCCATCACAATTGCTTCAGTTCCTTGTCCAAAGTAGGCACTATCAAAGGCAGTTCCTATGTTGGGGCAGTCACAGTGCAACCTATGCAATAATCTTTCCTTACCTGAACCATAACCCAACTGTCTACATACAACAGTAGCATCAGTACTGTCCCAGTAGTCATCACAGACTGTACCCCACACTCCACCACTGCATACCTCAACACGTCCCTCCTTGCTGTTTGTACCACCAACAAGACGAATGGATCCATCAATGCAACCTATTAATCTCATATACATCATGCATTCAAGCTTTAATCATGTAAAATCACAATGAAATTAACCCATTACTAAAATGAGTAGCATTGGTGCATGGCTTTGCCACAGTGCAATTTACATCAATCAAATATATTGAAATGATACAACTACCTCAGAAAGGAAAGGGAAGTAAGTAAAAATGATAGAAAGGAAAGGAAAAAGAGAGTGAGCAGAGAGCACAGGTCCAGAGACAAAAATAAATTAGGACAAAAATGTGTACTATTATACAGGGTATTTCAACAAAAATTACAAAGATAGAATTCTCCATTTTTGTAATTTTTCTGATACATATAAAAACTTTGAGCTGATTCTGATCAAATTTGATTTTTAACGAATTTTTAAAGTTGCTCAAAAATTGGGCCAATAACCAAAGGTTATTGGCCCAATTTTCGGCCCAATTTTGTTAAAAATTGAAGATCTTTCTACAAAAGATTCCCCACTCTTATAATTTTTTCTGATATGTATACATGTCCATATGTTGTGTATCAACTTTGAGCTGATTCCAATCAAAATTGGATTTTTATGAATTTTAAAGTTGCTCTAAATCCCATGTTCTAAATTTTAGTGCTTGTCAGCTCATGAAGCATGCTGCTTAGCTTATTAGCATGCTTTGTGGGAAATCCCAAGTGTAATTTACATAAAAGTTTACTAAAGAAGCAGAGGTATGGTGGAGGAAAATTGTAATTCATTTTACTCTAGCACTACATTTCTCTAAACTTATATTAACAAAATTCTATAATAATTATGTATGCAGTACACATTACTGATGAAAAATGAAGTAAAGGACTTGTAAAGTACATTGTAAGTGGCATATGTACATAAAATGCATTTTAAGTGTATGATCTATGAATTAATCATTGATGTACATTGAGCTGTTAACATATAAAGCCAGCAAGTCTCATTAAAGAGAGTGAGTTGAATGTGGTTGTTGATACAATTGTACTTACAAATACATATTGAGCAGTTAATTCCTTGATAGCCAGTACCAGTACAATCACAGGTGTAATTAGAAGGAGCTGAAACAAGTGTACAACTACCTTCATTCTGACAAGGACTCAGTTCACATATATTTGAAAATAAACAGGTACAAGTAGCGTTGAGAGTATAACCAGCTTCACAGCTATTGTTACAAACTAGAGTGGAAGGACAAAATCAATCATTTAATATAACATAACTAGATCTAATAGGAATTCAATTTACTAAATTAATGCATTGAAAATTTTGGCATAAAATGAGCTAGAATTTAAATATTGATCTTGCTCTACAGAAAAAGCAATTTAAACTACATATTCATTACCAGTACATACAAGACACAGGAAACAATCAATAATGCACCATTATAACACTTACAGACACATCTGACTCCTGCATCTTCATAATGGTCACATCTGTGTTCTATAGTGTGTGTACAGTTAGTAAGGTAAGATTCAGTTCCAACACACTGGACATCATCCATCACAATTGATCCAGTTCCTTGTCCAAAGTAGGCACTATCAAAGGCAGTTCCTATGTTGGGACAGTTGTTGTTCTAGTCTAAATTTCTATTTTAGTTCTAGTTCTACAATACTAGTACAGTAGCTCTGATAATTTTAGTTCTAGTTCCAGTTTTGGTACAGTAACTATAGTAATTTTAGTTCTAGTTCTTGTACATGCATGGTATGGTATCTATATTAGTTCTAGTTTAGTACAGTTGCTGTACAAAATAGTCTAGTTATGCAATTCTACTTAAGTGAAGTGAGAGATTGAGAGTAAAGCAAGAGCAGTAAGGTCAGTGTAGACTGTAGACAGTATAGAGTAAGAGAACACAGCAGTCCCAGACTCACAGCAGTCCCAGACTCACAGCACCACCTCATCACATAGATGTATGGCCACATGCACATGTACTCTGTCTGCATGTATTTGTACTCCTGTATCTATTAATAGGTTTTCATTACACAAGTCACCTCAAATTAACTAGTGTTGTGCTAGTTCTAATGGAACTAGAACTAAATCTATTTTAGTACACCTATTTTTTTCCTAGTTCTAGTTCCAAGAACTAGAACTAGAACTGAACTACATTGATACAAAAAACCAAAACTAGAACTAAAACTAGAATTTGACAAATTAAAGCACTGGAACTAAAACTAGAACTAAAGATTTAGCTATTAAGAACTTGAAACTAAAACTAAAACTAAAATGTGCACTTGTAAATCACTAGAACTAAAACTAGAACTAAAACGCTACCCTTTTAATAACTGAAACTAAAACTAGAACTGAAATGGAGCCCTTTTAATAACTAAAACTAAAACTAGAACTAAAATGGTACCCTTTTGAATGACTAAAACTAAAACTAGAACTAAAATGCTATACCCTTTTAAGTTATTGAAATTAAATTTCATTAAAAAATTATAAAAATCACCTAGAAATGGTGTATTTGTAAGACTAAAACTAGAACTATAAGGCCAGAATCAGAATTTGGCATGGAACTAAAATTAAAACTAAAACTAAAACGGAAGTACTAGTAGAACTAAAACTATAGAACTGAAACTAGAAGTGAAGCACTGGTAGAACTAAAACTAGAACTAAAACTAAAAATGGAGTACTGGTAAAACTAAAACTAAAACTAGAAATGGAGTTTTGGTAGAACAAAAACTAGAACTAAAACTAGAAATGGAGTACTGGTAAAACTAAAACTAAAACTAAAACTATAATAGTTGGTAGAACTAAAACTAGAACTAAAACAGAAAATAGAGTACTGCACAACACTAAAATTAACTACATGTAGATCTCTAGCTCTAGTTTTATCTATTCATTTTAGTTCTAGTTCTGGTTTTAGTACTTTGTATATATTCATTTTAGTTCTAGTTAGAGTTCTAGTACTCACTTTATCAATGTTTTAGTTTTAGTTTTAGTTCCAGTATTCTGACAATAAATGCTTTAGTTTTAGTTTTAGTTCTAGTACAATGGGCGAAAAAGTTTTAGTTCTAGTACAGTTCTAGTATTTGTACTAGAACTGAAACATAAAAAGTGGTACTACCATACTAGTATTAATTTTAGTTCTAGTACCAAAATACTAGAACAACACTACTATATCCCTTTCCTTACCTGAATCATATCCCAGCTGTCTGCATACAACTCCAGCATCAGTGTTGTCCCAGTAGTCATCACAGACTGTACCCCACACTCCACCACTGCATACCTCAACACGTCCCTCTGAGCTGTTTGTACCATCAACAAGACGAATGGATCCATCAATGCAACCTATATAAAAAAATTAATAATGTCATAATATACATAACATGCATTCAAGCATTAATCATGATCAGAGTAAATTCATCATT